TTGGGAATTAATAATTATTAAATAGATATAAATAAAATAAGAGGTTTTTTGATGAAAGTTTTCAGCAATAGTTTTTTATGGTATGTGTACTTAAAAATAGTTTCCCAAAATCTTTTGGTAACTTGAAACCTTAGAGTTCTACTAAGTTAAATTTAAAAAAATGAAAATGATTGACTACCCAGGTCATTTCCAAGTAAGAAAATACTAAAACATTAATTACTAAATAAAGCTAAGCTTTCCTACTTTAGGCTTCTTAATACAGAAAAACTAAAGAAATTTAGATCTGCTAATAAAAATGTCTTAAGCTACGTTGGAGAAACATATTTCTAAAAATCATGAAATATATTTGCCAATCAAAGAGCTTATATTTTTAGAGGTTATGAAATACATTCATTGATTTGCCAGTCCAAAGGATAGTAATTGCTTACTGTTAGTTGTCACTAGTGGTTAAGAATTCTAATTAATATGAAAGGAATTAGTATGCTTTCAATAAAAGATAATATGTGAAGATATGTTTTCATTAAGGGAAATGAAAATAATTTTGTCCTCGTTATCTTAGAATTTTACCTCTTATGATTAAGCTGGCTAAAATTAAATTATTACAATGGTTTCGAAAATTAACCTTTAATATCAAGCTTGTGCTTATGTAAAGCTAAAACTTAATGTTATTCCTCTACTGAAAGAACAAAATTTTCCTGTACTATTGGTTTGCTCTTAATAAGAAATTATAAAGGGAAAGCAAGGATTATATGTTTTATTAAAATATTTTCCTGTGTTCTTTATCATCAGGTCTTTCATTCCCTAAGTAAACTGAGTCTTCTTAGTTTTAAAAGAGCTAAAATTTGCTTATTGCTATGTAACCTTCTGTATTTGTTTTTGAAATCTTTTATTCTCAATTTGGCTAAATGGATAATTGAGTATTATTTCATTAAGCATTATTCCACAATGACCTACGATCCTATTGGACCAAATGTTTTAAAACTTTTGATATGTTTAACAAACAAACTTCCCCAAATCAGATTCTAAGTTAAGTCTTACTGATCTGAGAATAACTTTGGGGAATTCCAGAGGGCCCCTGAAATACCTCAAAAGGTTTGTTCTCCCTCTTTATGAAAGAAAAATATTAAACTAATTAGGCTTATTTGATATGTTAAATTACATGGGAAATATTGTAAAATAAATGATACTAAATTTTATGTTTATATACGTATGTTATTAATACGAATGTACTAAAAATTATAAAATTCCTAAAATTCTAACATGTCCTAGTATAATACTAAAAAAACTTAATCTTTTTCTCCAAAAGTTGTGACTCTGTCCTGTCTGTCTTTGTAATGTAACCACTGGAGACTAACCAAAACACTGCCCACAGAAACCAAAAAAAAAAAGAAGAAGGCTTTTTAAAATGCAGACTCCTGTATAAGTTCCTTTGCCAAAATTAACTCGTAAAAGATCTAAGGTTTTTATAAAACTACTGAAAAATAATAAGGATGAAAGAAAATGACATGTATGGCAAATAGGATGTGTGTTCTCAGCAGGAGAGCACATGAAGCGTGGAGATGCACTTCTGTTGAGGGAAAGGAAAAGAGAATGCTTTTTATAAGGAAGAATATAAAGGACATTTTTTTTTTTTGTAAGAAAAGAAAAGAAAAAGTAATTTTGTCCTAAAATAAAATGTTTTGAACTAAGAAAGAAAATGATAGGACAAAAACTGAAAGGTATAAATGTGTATGTTGCAGAAGGCTTCCGGAAATTGCAGGTTTGTGGAGGAGGTTAACTTGAGAAAATAATTTTACACACGGTCAAACTAACAAAGCCTGGAGTGGGAAACTCAGTCAATTGCGTCGTTTACATGTGCGTATATGTGAACAGCTGCCAGAGCTTTTACCACGGCCCCGTTTAAGTCTTGACGTTTGCAGACGATTGTTGTTTCACTCTGATGCTTTGATTAAAAAACGTTCCTACCAATGAGCTTCATCTCCAACAATTCATTAAAAAATCCTCTAACAAATACTCTAAAATTCTCTAAATTCTGATAACTTTAAAAAGATAACAGCGAAGCAAGTAAAGATTTATAGAACTCTAAGGAAAAACTGGATTCATGAAACTTAACAAAAACATCGGGATCAATGAGAACTAATAACATAGGACTAAATAAACCAAGAAGGACATTTATAATTTTTGTGACTTTTTATGTGAAATGTTACTGGTTTCTGATCCTTGTTTTCCAGATATGAGATCTTTTTTCTCCTAAGCAACCTATGACCTGCAGCAATTGGGTAAATTATACCTTTGTAGAAAAGAAATTAAGACATTTCCTTTTCCTTCCTACCTGATCCCTCCACAATTTCAGGTGCTCTCGATTACCCATGTTTGCCCACCCTGAAAGGTGTCGACTTTTGGATTCATGGTTCTCAACTGAAGGGAAGCTCTTACACCTAACTAGACTGCCCAACCAACAGAGGATCTGAAATTTAAAATTACTGGCAAGCGAGCAAACGGCCTCTGCTGTAGACAGCTAACCCGACTCTGGGCCAGGCCTGTATAATCCAAACGTTCATTTTCCCTTTTGTCCTTACTTCTCACCAGTACTATGAGAAGCCAAGCACTCACTATAGTCATTATTGTTTCCTATTCCCCTTTAATTTCTGTCTGGAAAGATAATTCAACACTGGGCATCATCTTTAAACCTATTTCTCAGATCAAAATGTACAACCGGTTATGCACATAGTCGAGGATGTTTAACGCCAGTGACGTCAGCCCCAGTGAAGGTGCCGGGTCTGAAAGAACTTCTCCTCGGGCAGGCCTGGCAGCATCTGCCCCCGCGACAGCGAACCAGAGAAGTCTTTACATGTCCTTGCAGAAGTTACGTTAGACAGTAGCCTTACTCTTGGCCGGCTCCTGGCTGAGCGAGGTGGGGCTTGCTCTGCCGTTAGTCCCGCCCATAGTAGGACGCAGCACTCTGGTGAAACACAGAACCAGAAACACAGAAATCTGAGCAGGAGCCAAGTGACCGAACGCAGGGCGGCTGACCCCTCACGGTTCTCGAGGTTCTTCCGCTGACGGCCCTCAGTGCCGCCTCCTGGTCCAGATCCAGTCTTCAAGTTGAACTGAGCATTTTATTTGTTTATTATAATTTTTTTTGCTGTTATAAGACTCTGTTCGGCATCGCTTGATGTCATAGACACCACCCTGATCATGGTTGCTTAGCATTTTGAGATGATCGGTAAGGCCTATGAGACTTAGGAGAAATCTCAGGAAACCACGGAAGATGTTTGCCCTTAAAGAAGCACAACGGTGAAGCCGTCCTCTGTGCCGGGCCTCTCAATGCGCGAATGCAGCCTAAGAAGCCACTTTCCTCGTACGTGGGACATAGATCAGGAACGAGCCTTCCCAGGGACAAGGGACCGAAGATGGCATGACACACCCCAAGGAGCCACCTGACAGCGGAGGACCGACAATGCTTTAATAACTGATCAGTGCTGCTTTCCGATAATTGATCATCGATGCTTTCAAGGAAAGATCTTGATCAAAAGGGGGAAAATGCAAACAATAACTTCTCACCCCTGGGGCAAAATCCCCTCTGGATGGGGCCTTCAAAAAGTGGTGCCCCAAAGGCCCGCCTGCAAGGATGACAAAGCAGATGCCATGACTGCCAGACTGGTGACTACAGGACTGAAAGTTAAAAACGAGGTTCAGAACCAGCATCGCGTGTCACGTCTTCCGCACCCGTGGAAACGCCTTCCTCCTGCGGATGGACTCGTCCCCCGCCCTTGCTCATAAATATCCATCGCTTTCGTGTCCTCATCGGAGGACTGCTTGGGCTTCTGCCTGAGTCGGTGCTTCCGAATGGCTATTCTTATTGATCTCAAATAAAAGCTGCTGCCTCTGACTTTGAAAGGCCTTTATTTTTAGGTTAACAGGGGATTTTGACCAAAGCAGAAGCAGTGGGAAGGCCCTGGGTGAGAGGACTGCGGGGCCTTGGGCGCGGTCCCCGGACCTCCGAGGCGGGGCGTCAGGTAGACGGCAGGGAAGGGCCTGGAGTTCAGGGCCCAGTGGACGCCGGGTGTGATGCTTTGATGGCAGGTGACTTCATGAGACAGCACAGCAATGCGGTGAGGTCAACAGCCCATCCCACC